AAGCGATGATTTTAACCACAAAGTATGTGAATAAAAAGAAACTCTGACCCGAAGCATTGGGTGCTGTGCTCGTTAAGTCCTGTGGTGTCACACCCAGACACTATGGTGGGTGAGGGTTTCAGACTTGGATGTTCTCTACGGTTACTTTGCTTTGCCGTTTGTCTCCTCTCTGATCTTCAGCAATGAACTCCGCTCTTGGATGGCAATAACTCCCATTGACTTCTGTTTCTGTCATCTCGGCCGGCTGGAACTACTCCTCAGATCTATACGCGGCCTGACCCTGAAAAGTGTTTTCAATTACTCTGCTGCTGGTGTCAACCCTCTTGTGCTGAGCTTATTGAAATTGAACACCCGGAACTTTAAACAAGGCCACGAAGTTACACCGTGCTGCTGCTGCTGCTATCAGCAACATGAAATTACACATTTCAAAAATGCCTCAGAGTGCCATGCATGGTGTAATTTAGGAGAAAATTATGTTCGATACATAGAAGGGTCTGCCAGGGCACGTAGGGCCACATTCAGCGGAGTACAATGAATTAAATATAAAGAGCGAAATAGCTGCGGTGAAACTGTAATGCTCAATTTTTTCGTTGTGCATTGTGCTGTCATTTGATCTCACCCACGGAGGAGGTCAAGGAACACACAGTCTCTGCTCCCACAGGCCCCGCAGGAGAAACGCGTCTCCCAAAGAGATGCCATGTAATCAGGGTTAACATTTGTGAGTCACATGACCCGCAGCGGAGCGCAACCTTCGAGGATGCTTGAATCGATGCTGGTGGTTGTACTGAGATACTCACAGGGAGGTTATTACAGGTCACCAAGGAAAGGGTCGGAGTTCACCTTTGGGAGAGACAACCCTATGAAAAGGTATTGAAATTGAGTGTGTTTACACTAAAATGGAAAACAGGCCGCAGTTAGTGATGGGTGTCAACATCTAGTTTTTAATTTTCTCTGTGCCTCTGCTAAAGATATCGACTTTTCTTTCTTCATCGGTGAAAAACTACACAAGAGACAACAAAAGGACTGCAGAGAATTGTCTTTATTTAACAGATACTTGTTACTCCTTTTGGCTCAATTACAATCAGATGTAAATGAGGAATAGAGAAACCCTCCAAAACTCTTAAATTCCACCAGGGTAGAGGTTTGGATTCTCAATATTCGTTCCCCAGTAAATGCAGATTATTAATGAACTAGTAAGAAGCATATTATTGTAGTAGAGGTGAAAATGTGGATAGAGTGGTAAGGAGAGCAGTATGTGTCATCTCTGGTTTTGTATCATATCTTCTCGCTCCAGAGTCTGGCACAGATTTCTCCAAGGGGCCAGTAAGCTATATTGTATGACGTCTTATTTTATTATACAGATTCATAACATTTACTTACATATACTACAATTACTGTCATCATATTGTATAAGATCATGTTAAATTGTGCAGCATCTGTACTTGTATCGTATTCATAGTATCATGCAGTATTTTTACTGTATTATACAACTAGGGCTGGGTGATAAATTGATAACGATATCTAAAATTAATTTCCCTCAATATCAATTTAAAACATGGTCAATATGCTTTTCAATAGTCGGCATTCAACCATGTTTTGGTAGACTATACGAACAGCCATTAAAAAGGGGAGTTACTCCAGGTCCAGGTCACATACTGAATTAGACAGTAGCAAACAGCTGTGTAGGAGCAGGCTGCAGCTACACGCAACCACAGCACTTTAACACGGGAAGCCGACAGCACAGCACTGAGTGCGACCCCTGACAGAAATGCAGATGAAGGCTCAACAGATGATGACATCGTCGACAACACTGGCACGAAAACGTCGGTGGTGTGGAGGTATTTTGGTTTAAACACTGTTAAATTTCACTTTTCTATATAGTGATATTTATCGACTGATATATATAAAAAAAACATATCATGATAAACTTTTTCCCATATTGCCAAGCCATATATACAACATATAACATCTAACTGGATGTGGGTTTTCAGGGTGTTGAATTTAAAGTTGCAGAAGCAGTAAATATAAAGAGTACCTGCTTATTGATTGGGATGAAATGACATGTATGATACAGCCACTGAAGTAAATATGGTATAAAAGCACTCAGTAAAGTACTCTAGTGAATTTAGAGTATTTTGTGGACATGCACACATACACACAAAAAAAATCTTCCTACAATAGAAAAGAAAGAGCTTTCACACATTCAGATTTGATTGTTCTTTCTCTCTGACCTCCGTGTGAACCCGACACAGTTAGACGTGCGTTTCGTGAACACCTTTGTTTACTTGGCGGAGGTGTGCTCTGTGCTCTTCCTGTCCCAGTATCCCTGACCTGTTACAGCCTCTGCCAGCACGGCGTCACGTTGACAGGGGTGAGGAGTTTGCTCTTATATATTGTGTAAGAGTAAACTCAGCTCTCACTGATTTGTAGCAGAACAGATAAAGTTCAGATTCTCTACCCCCGTCCCCCTCACAGCAGTCCTTGCCCTGGGCTGTATGCCATGACACCGTGCTAGGCCAGGCGGGAAGTTCCCATCAATCACACTTAAGGGAATGAAGTGTGGATGAAGGTAGTGATGCGGCAGTGGTCGCGATAATGGCCTTGAGAAGTCAGAAGCCTGCCAGCCTTCACCACCTCAATGTATCAGAGATCAAGTCGGCCCAAGTTCTCTGGGGAGACGAGGATCTCAGCTGTGGGAATACTGCTGAGGTGAGTCATGGAAAATTCCAGAGACCGAAAGAACCCAGTGGTCCTGCGTTACCTCAGCTTACCTGCAGATTTCATACAAATTTCATGATCTATTGAAGACAGATTTTCATTTTTACGACCCGATATCATCTCTCCTATCGCGGCCACACAAAGAGTCGGACCATATCCACTGCAGTACTTCTTTTTGAACTCAGCCTTCTTTATGAATCAGCAAGAGTCACAGTTTCAAAGAGCTGCGCAGGAAAATTTGCTTTGCTAACTTGACTCAAAGCATGAAAAAAATGTCTCACAAAAACAACTCATAGGCTCAGCGTGAAGTCAAACCTCGAAATTCACTCTGAGACTGAATGTTTTATTGACTCAAATGTGAGCAGAGTTGAGTTTATTGATAAGGTTGGCGCAGCTGTATAAGTTGTTTTAAGTTGACCCTCAAATGCAGAAAAATAAAGTGAAGAATTATCGCTCCAATAAACCCAGGAAGACTTCCGTGTTAACCGAGGGGAAGAGAAGTGGAAATATGACTGGCATGAACACAGTAAGTGATGAGCCAACAAAAAACTCCCCTGAACCTTTGATCAAATGTCGAGGTTTGCGTATGAACTTATCAGCGTGAAAACAGAGTTTGGCGAAATGAAAACGTTACAGTCAACCATTCGGGTGTCAGCGACTTTGAAGCAGCAACAGAAAAGCAAAGAGTCATGAGAGCATTATAGAGATGCTGCCGCTGTATAATCAGGTTGCAGGTACTCCTGAGAAATTTCTACCTATTAAAGGTCTAATTGAATATTTCATAGAAACAAGCAAGCTGTTATGCACGGAGCTCTCAGAGGGTTATAGTCCTGTTGATAATCAGACCTCTCATTATTTCTGTTGAGGCCGTGTGTCTGAGCTTTTAAGTCGGCAGATGCTCAGACATCTCTGGGTAATATCTCAAAATGATGCCGAAAGAAAACTGCAATTTATATTTTTCTTAGGAAGGCAAACCAGTTATTTCAAACCATCAAGCGAATCGGATGTTCGAGTATGTCTACCTTGATGAGAACATTGGTGTGTATTTAAAGCACTCACTTAATCCACCGTTTCTCAAAGCGTCTTTCTGTCAAGTTGTTATTAAAACGGTATTTTCCTGCCGATCACTGAGGCAACCTGCATTTTCAAACGTGTCTGGAAAATAGAGGTGTTGATGAGCAGATGTGAAAAAGAGCCATTCATTACTTAAACTTGCACAAACAGCTGGTAAAACAGCACAAGCCTTATTTAACCATCTCTATAAGTGCTGCACGGGTTTAAAGCAATGCAGGCTGTACAAAGTAAAGTACTATGTGAAGCCCAGAACAACTCAACAACTGCAACCACGATGCAGATTTATAAGACTACCTGTTAAATGTGAGCCAAAATTGTTGCTCATGTCTGTCTCTGTTGGTTTGCTTTTCAGTAAGGAAGTCTAAAGCCCGTCTGCTGTGCTGTAGAAGCATTAGCGTCATTTCTAAAGAAGAACTCTCGACAGAAAGGGTTCATTTTCTCGTTAAATCATCAGTGGCAAACGGAGAGGATGGTGAGTGTTTGAGAGAGTCATGTTTCAGAAACTGTTGTCTACATTTATGTGTTTCAAGGATCCTCTTATACCACCCTTCTCAATGAGGTCATTTGAGGACAAGAGTCATTAATGACTGCTGTGCAAATTCACTGGAGGGCGGCGTTTCAATACGTGCGTGAAAAATGATCATCGACAACCCCAAAATTGGAGGGAATCGAACAGGCAGCGAAGCGCGGATATGAATGTGTTCTGAATTTTTATCCTCGAAAATGCAGCCGAGGATGATCGACTTAACACTTTGATATCCTCCGTCCTTATAGAGGGTTTGACTCAAGGTGAATTTAAGCGTTAAGACATTACTCTCTCCACAAACACAATACAAAGTTTGTTCAGTGGGAGTGGAAATGAGACAAGTTCAAGGCGTCAACAGAGGCTGCTCCGGGTGCATGGATACAGACCAAACGAAACATCATGGCTGGAATTCCAGCCGTCGTCCACTCAGACAATGGACAGCAGCTGCACAGAGACGAGTCCATTTATCTGGACCTCATCTCGGCGGGGCTTTGATTTCCCAGCAACTAAAACAGAGGTATGCCATTTGTTCTTTGCACTACAGCTGTAAACGCTTTTCCTGGATATGATGGAGTTTCTCTGCAAAGGGGGAGGGTACACCAACTGATCCCTCCAAAACCTGGAGCTGCAATATCCAGCCAACAATGGTTGTCAGTAATGGTTGTCATGGGCCTTATGTATATTTATGTCTCATAAACCCAATAGATTGCACTATGACGGTGTATTACTCCCTGAAACCAGAAAACTTTTATTGATAAAAAAACAAACAGCCTGGTTTACGGTGCAAAGTCGAGCCCTGAAACAAAAAACCAAAGCGTTTATATCCTGGCATGAGCTGTGGACAGCACTTGGAACGGCGCAGGAATACATGGCTGGGTTTGTTGGCCTTACCGACAGCATAAATATACCAACACTACATTCCACAGTGAAATTGAACTCCTGCCACCACAACTGACATATTCACACCCCATTCACCCCCACATTGACTCCACGTTCCCAGAGCATACCCCATCATTCCCCCATGCTCTTATGGTGAGGACCACCAACTGAAACGCTCATCTCCTGTTACAGCTCCTGACAGTAATGCAAACGCAGAAGGCAAATTTCACAGAAGCAGACGAAGTGATATTTTCTCAATATGAACTCTGTGTGCTTATAGAGGACAAAGACAAACATACTTTCATGCTGGTACTTTTCCAGCACACAAAGAGTCCGGGGGTAAATTTTGGCTTTGATTAACAGGTCCCTAATGTTTGACCTAGTGCAGTGTCGCAGGCAGAGGAATGCAGCATTCACAGGGATCCTGTTTAAAATAACCACAGAGACAAGAGGAAACAAGTGGACGGACACAGTCTCACATTTTAATGGTTTTTTTTGTGTCTGCAGAGATGCACAGTTGCATTTTTTTTTTTCTTAGCAGCTCTGTGGAAAATGAAATCTCTCTTCGCAAAATGACAGAGTCTATTGAGCAGAGGTTGCCGGCAATCCCCGGCTTTCACGCCACTCTTTGAAAATAGAAGACACATCTGCTTGTCTTTTCTCTGAATTCGGTTTTAATGGAAAAGAGGTGCAACAGTTATCCCTTTTGGGTTCACTGAACTGTATCTCCAGCTCAGACTGTATGTTCAAATAGTTTGCTTGTGCTCAAAAAAAAAAGAGAGGATGTAAGGAGAACAAGCAATTACTGTAAGCCCGTGTGACACTACACACAAGACACTGTATAAATAGTTAACATCACACACGAGCAAGGAAACAAGGTTGTATCAATGGGAGTTTTTTTTCTACTCCATCCAGAAGCACAGTTAATACTTGTGCATTATGTTTACACGGCGTACTTTGGAGGCCAAGCCATTCCTGTTGTTAGCTGGAGATAATGAGAACGACTGCAAAAGCACTAAACAGCTAAAAGCACATCTGCCAGGATACTCCAAAAACCTGGCAACAGCACATACATCTGGTCATAAAAGAGAAACACAGAAATGGAAATGTACAGTTATAAAAAGATACAGAGCTACCGGGGGGGATGCAAAACAATGCAACTCCAAGAAGAAGCAGTGATTTCATCACAAGGGCGAACATATGCAATGAGAAATTAATCAGACATTACACCAAGAGAAACCCTGTAAACATGCAAATACAAAATCCCTTTACAGTTTCGAGTTTCAGACACCAACCTCTGACAAAGCTGCATACTGCATCTACCATGATGCATTTCTCATGATTTTTAGATTGCACTATAGGCAATTCAAAGCAATCGATTCAAGTATGACAGGCATGTCTGAGAAAATCTGGTAATACACACTGCAGTGACTAACAAATTAAAGAGTTGTTAGTGGTTAGAAAGTCAAATTAGGCTCAGTGTGCAAAGTGAAAAATAAATCAATGCGCAGTATTCCAGTTTTCTGTTTATGATGTCCTTTTTTGCCTTGATTTAGTAGGATGTGGGTAAAGACAGGCGTTGAATGAAGGACTACAGCAACAATAACTGTGGACTCTGACATGGGGCACACCCCTGCAGATTTGATGAACTGATTCCTCTTCTGCACACCAGTCAGGAAGCAAAGATGTGTGACGTATTTATCTGCAAGTCCCAAAGAAAGCAACTATAACAGCCTGTTGCAACACCCACATGGTCTGTAGGGGGAGCATGCCACCCCAGGACAACCCTCTAGTTTTTCAGGTCGGGTGTTTTTTACGTGCTTCTAACTCAGTATGTCCACACAACACAACCTCAAAACTTCCAGACAAAACCCAGGACATTTGAAGAATTTTATAAACTCCCTGGACAAGGCCGGACAGCCCCCCAAATAGAGGACATGTCTGGGTAAAAGAGGACGTATGGTCGCCCTACTCTAGACACACCCTCTGGATGTCTTCCAAAAACTCAAGATAGGTGCAAATAAATGCATAAAAAAAACTGAGTTTTATTTCCAGCTTTCGAATTGAAAGTTATAGCCCTGCTGAGGGTGAAAGGGGAACATCTTTGTGAATGCAACTGACTCCTCCGAGTCACTCTGAGATTTGTCCAGACAAACTGAAAGGATTGAGAAGGATTTGACAGGGAAGGACAATATGAATGCTAATGGATGTCTGACGCTTTACTGCACAATCGCTGGAGGTTAAAAGGAGCAGACAAGTTTAGAGATCCCCCAAAAGGACATCTCAACCTTTTCCACCAACTGATGGCTTATATAAACTTATTTTACTATTTCCCATTTGCTTAATTAGAAGCAGCAACGAATCAAAGCAATCCCACTTTTGAGGGTTCTGGTTTTGTCTTTTTGGCAGCTTGCATCATGCAAAATACGTATGCAGCCGAGTGAGTGTTGTGGAGAAATATGTTGCAATCTTTCTCTTACAAATAGCCAATTTATCCACATTGTACCCCTCAGAGCTGACTCAAACGGTTTGAATTCTACCCAGAACAAGCAAAGTGTCGTGCTAATTGGACCAAGCTGCCCAGACCCAAAAGGTAAAACTCAGTTAACCTCTGTGTCCATCAAAACTGATGAAAGTCTGGCAATGATTGACGCCTCATCATCCCAAAGGCCTTATACCACCAACCGGTGCGTCTCCATTGCTTCTATTACAGCTCGAATTCTCCCCCTCACAGCAGCTGCAGTCCAAAGTGTGAAGGTGAATTGTCAGACTTTTTCCAAACTGTCTAGACTTTCCATCCTTCCAGAGCAGCATGGGTTCCCTGATAGTGGGAATCTATTTTGCAAAATGCTCTGAACCTCTAATGAAGAAATGAAGCATGGAGGAACCATGACGGACCGCGGCCAGGGGGAACCATGCCGAGGGAAAGAGGGCCACTGAGAGGGGGGCATGGATAGAGCGGAAGGAGAATGACAAGAAGGTGAGAAAGACAAGGACAGAAAGTAAAAGAAAGAAAAATAAAGGAGGGAAGAACTGATTGAAGGTGAAATAAGGAAAACTAAAGAGAGGCCTGAATTCTCACATTTTGAACAGCACTGTACTCGACAATGAACCGTCTTGAATACCTTCGCAGAGTGTTTTTATTTTAATTTGCAGTGGAAAATGTCTTTTAAATGACATATTTATAGGGTTTGAAAAGAAAAAATATTTGTCCAGCTGGAAGAGTGCTCAAATACCACCGTTGGTTGTGAGTAGGCTCTTGAGTGCTGCTCATTTTTTCAGACAATGAGACCTTTAAAAATCCTAGAAAAAGGCCTTTTTATTATCTTGTTACATATTAGACCTCTTACTGATTTTTATTTTTACTCTGTCCCTGAAATAAACATTCAGAGATTTTAATAACGCTGGTGCATGTCCCAAATGGGCTTGTCAAATCCTGAGTCATCAGACATGCAACTATTTCCTGGTTACCTGTCTGACCATGATTGATTGGCTGCAGTCACAATAGCACCTTGTCGACTAGCACAGGCTAGCACCCAGAGAAGCCAAAAAAGAAACAAAACAAAGTTCCTTAAAAAGACATTTGTGTGCAGCAGTTCCTCTCTCAGCTTATTATCCTCTCTCCTCCGTTAAAATACCTCGATGGACTTCTGCAGCATACAAGCTAACCTCAGCCACCTCACAGTCTCCCTGCAGCATTCACATCCATTATATAAACTCCCAAAATAAATGACTGATGGGGGGGCAGTATTTTAGCTCCCAGTTTTGTTCTTTTTTGACAACACTATTAAAACTAGCAACATAATCAGCAAAGGAACAAATGTAGAGACAACTTTGCTCTCTGCCTGCTGGACAATACCAGATAAATCCGGTCTAAAGAACTGAAAAAGAAAATCTATCCATAAATGGTCCATGTATCTGATGTTTTTCTCCTCCCCAGTGTTGGAAAAATCCATAAATGCAGCTGAAGAACACACAGTATGTGGAAAATTTACATTGTGTTCGCTTGGCGTGCTTCATTGTTTGCAGTGTTTTCAGTCCCTTTGGCTCAGTATCACCTTTAGCCCCCCTTTGGCACTAATCTGCCAGGCTGACTCATTGTCTCAGGTGAAGCCAAGCAGAAGACATGGCCGCCCCAACCCCTCTGGGCCCCGCCTCCCTACACACACACTAACACACATCCATGAACAACAACCCCCCATCTCGACACCGCAACCTCCCCACCCCAGGGATTCCCGTTATTCCACCCTGTCTGCAGAGAGGCTACTGGGATCACATTGCACATCAGTCTGGTGCCTTTCCTCCTGATACCGTCAGGAGTCACGTGGGAGGGGGCCACACCCCAACACGCACCAGCTCTCTTTTCAGCGCGAACCCGGCTTCGGTCCTCATTATTTATGACATTTTCCCGGCGATTATTAATTCATCAGAATTGCATTATATTCCAGACGTAGTCCAGACACTGTCACATCTGTGACGTCTCCGGAGCCCAGCAGGTCCTGAAGGAGCCAGCCCCGCCCACTCCATCAACCCCCTCTGCCGCTGTTTTTCCACATCTCTAATTGGGTTTTGTTTATGGCTTCTGTGATCAGCGGCGACAGCATGATCGGTGCCGTTGCCTCCCAAAGTCTAATGGGGGGAAACTTGTCTATTTGTCTGCTGCCTGCTTCCCTTTCACTAATCACACTGTCAACTACAGCAAACACTGCTCTCATTCAAGACTAGAAAGCATCTGTACATGTAATAACAGCGTATGTATTTTACTGATACAGTTTCAAAGAGTCCCCCGTCTCTCTTCAGTGGATATTTTTCAATCCTGGAGTGCCGTATCTCTACTTTTAGTCTGGCATCTGTTGCTGTTCAGTGAGCTGACCGGTTGGCGGTTAGGGTTACAGTTGTTCACAGAGGGCACACTTAATGCTCTACTGATCAATATTTTGAGGGATCATTTGACTTAAGAGTTAGAAAACCCCAGAGAGAACTATGACTCAAGTCGTCAGATCCCCTTACCCTGAACAGATGTCGATTTTTTGCCCCCTGTTTTTGGTTTTAAGAGCTGGCAAACACAAAAAAGCTCAAACTAGAATGGATATTGGATTTTCATGCATCAGCTGGAGAAAAAAAATAACAACCTCTAATGATTTGTTTTCTTGTCTTGTGTCTGGCTGATGCATAAATAGGCAATTGCCTCCCTAACACAGGACCAAATGAAGTGATAACAGGCCAAACGGCTTCCTGGAGCCCCAAAGAGCGACAACCTTTCCAGATATTTGTCAGCTTTTATTGTTACCTTTTCAGATTGAACTCCAAGCACATTTTTTGACATTCAAATGAATTCACAAGTTCTGACAACAACCTCTGGAGGAGAAAGAAGATACTCGCACATTGAATCTCACTGAACATTTCTTACTGGTCCATTGACTCAAGTATTTAACCAATTACTCTCAGAAATCACAAGACCCGCTCGGACTAAATGAAACCGAGATATCGGAGACATCAGAGGACGGATTAAAAAGAGAATCCTGGAAATCCATAAAAATGCTAAGAGTGGGCGAATCCAGAGGCCTGATGTTAATTTGTCTAAGTTTGCTGATGCATACCACCAAATGGAGAAGAGGAGGATAATGTGTCAGAAGAGTTAAACGTCACGCAGTAAAAGGATTGAGTTAAAGACTGACTAAAGACTCTTATGATGAGTTTCAAGGATATCTAATTATAACCATCTCATATCCCACATAAGTAAGATGAGCAGAGATTGTAACGCTGAAGTCACTGAAGTAGTTTGATTGGAGGTTAGTCTCAGCTTTACAGTCTCAGTGCAAAAACAGAAGTTGGTCTTTTATAGTCTTAATAACCTACCAGGAATCATAAATGTGATTTAAGGATGTATCACAGAGTTGCGATGCTAATCACCACTGTGGAAGATTAATAACGTCACATGCTTGTAAGGTCGTACTTTCCACACTGCGGCCTCATCATGGCTACTTTTACTGCTAATGCTAATCATCATTACCCTCCCCTCTGATGAGCAGGAGAGGCGGCCAATAAATCAGGAGTGACATGTGCCAGTTAAGACACCAAGAGGGATGAGAAACCGTTGAAATGTTTGTGGTTTATTTATCCCCATGCATGTGCAGGGCGCCAACAAAGCAAGCTTTTGTTCACAGGAGTAAGAGCGATGAGGCATGGCTGAGAAATATTCTTCATTTATCTTCTCTAAACTGATGAAGTCTGCAAAGAAACCATGTTTGATTTGGTAATAAAAATGTCTGCAGCAGTTTCGCATCTCTCGTTTTAATTAATCTGTCTTAAAGAGACACTTTTGCCTCATAAAATGATAATGAAATCCGCGTGGAAATTCACTCTTTTTATGATCTTTTATTATGAATCCCTCTCCTTGAAAAATGGGACTCACCAGCGGTCTGTATGAGGAAGAATCACAGCAAACAAACAAACATCTTCACCTTGGATTACGAGTCTCTAAACAACTGACGATACAATAGCAGGACAGATAAACACTTCAGCAAAGTCACATCTGATGTGGCATGACTTCTATGTAGGTTAATGAAGGCCTTATTCAGGCTTTGGTTTGAATTCATGTTGCAGAGCCAAAGAGGAGGACCAATGTGAGGAAAAAGCGTCTTATTTTCTGCCATCTTTCCTGGACACCAACTGGGATGCAAGCTACAGCATCTGAGCACAGCATCAAATCCAACACAGAAAGCTCCAAACACAGACAAAGGAGCCCCTCCACCCATGGCGAGCGAGAGGACAGTGATTAATGAGGCCACACCAGTGGAGAGTGGCTCCGTTATACTCCACCTCCAGTCTTGTATCTGCTTCGGCAGTAAGAGTGTCAACAAGTAACTAATGACTGCCAAGATGTCCGCTGTTATACATTTCCTGGAAACATCAGTGCTTATCAGTTCAACTGCTGCATTCACAGGTGCTGCTACATGGCTGGAGGCGAACGAGATGTTTATATTTTCAACTAAGAGTCTGGCACTCTGCTGCTGTGACGGTTGACGGGTTGGATTTCTGATACCAGTTGTCACGATGAAGAAGAGTTCCTCTCCTAGGGGTCAATAACTGAAACTCCAAAAGCTAGCCCGTATCAAGCGGCAACTTCTGTCCCTGACAATTGAGGCCACCAAAGAAAAGGAACAAATCTACAGTTAATGACTTGAGGACATTAGACGTGCCCCAAAAACCAAAAGAACACTGACATTTGTGTTAAAAGGTATATTTTATACAGCAAATCAAACCAAGCTATGGCATGGTGCAATATCAATGGTACAATGGGGAATATCTTGTTATAACTCAAAAACTTTAATGATCTTAAGACTAAGTGTTACTATGAATTGATATGCATGTGTAAGGATGCGGTTAACTTGACTGGCGGGCAGCCGTTGACCGGTAGGCCCTCCTTAGCTCCGCCTGTTCCTTAGAGATCAAGGCGGTCGAGAATAGTCCTGTTAAAAACACTTATTCAAAATTCTGAGTGTCGAGCATGCACAGAGATCTAAATAAATGACTGAAAACGCCACTGGATGCACGCCAGAACACCGAAGAACAACATGAGTTTGAACCAAGATGCTTAAGTGTTAAAAACTGCAGTCCCTTGAGTGTCCACTTGACCTTGAAAAAGTGACCTTTTCAGAGGATCTTACTTTTCAACCTTCCAAAACTCCATTTACATGTTAACGACGGCCCAAACAAAACTGTAGTTCAGCATCTTTTATTGAATACCTCTCCTTTAGACAGCCTCTAGAATGGCCAAAAGGTGGTTTTAGATGGTAACCACCATCATCGTACTTGGCCGATTAACCAACAGGTGATGTAACCGAGACTAAGTCCATGATTTATGCAGTTTTAGTTTCTGGACTCAATACAGCTCAATTCAACAGGTACTATAAACTCTGAGATATGTGCTCAATATCAACAAAACATGATCCAAGATCCTAACATAGTTTGCCGTATGTGGAAACCTCAGAGAGTATATCCTGCATAGAAACAGGATGAACATGACTTTTAAAAGGAGCAGAAATACATCAAAAGTCAGATTATTGAGAGCTGGCGGCTTTTACAACATCTTGGTAAAGATGGAAAAATCCTGTTCGGTCATCTGTCTCCATCTTTGGTTCGTCTCACAACATTTATAATTCAGTTTGAGCAAGATCATTAAAACTTCCCTTCACAGGCATTGGCTTTTAAAGACAACTGACATCCAAAAGGACATCATTTGTTATTTGGAAAAGTGGTCTAAGTGCTCAAACATTGATTGGATATCTCGCGATCCAACATAAGTTGATAAAAGCTCAAACTGAATCACTTCCCAAACCTGTTTGAGGAAATTGAGGGTTCTGTTAGTGTTTCTTCATTTTGAGTAAGAGATAAAATGAGAGGAGGAAAAAAAAAAACAGTTTGAATTCATTTTATGTAATAGTTTTTGAAAATGGAGACAATTTCCTCGTCAAATTGTGCTTTTAAACTCAATGTGCTCATGGAAGAAAATGGTGGCACTGCTTTTCTTTGTAGGGGAGCACACGTGTAAACATCTTTCATGTCTTCAGATTGCCATGACAACTTGTTTGGCCCTGCACTTTTCAGACATCCCATGATGCCAACCAACAATACTTCTTTTTTCGGCCCCAGCGTGAAAGCAACATTAAACTGCTGTCCATTCAGACGTCCTCGTCGACTCTTGGATGTGGTGATATTTTGGCGGTGCCTCCTGTCTGAAAAATAAAATAACACTCTCCGAGGACCTTAAGAAGTTCTGTCCCTGTCCCTGTTGGTCCAAGAATCTCTCCAGCCACTGATCGAACTGCAATCTCCCTGTTCAAACACAGCTGCATCAATGGGCTTTTATCAGACCGCGGTCCCCCCCCCCTCTGGATACAGAGAATGCACAGCTGCTGCTCTGTTGCCCAGAAACTGAATGTCATTTCAGGAATACCCCCCATTCCACAAACAGGATAGTGTTACAGGAAGGCCTGCAAACATCCCCAGCCTCCAAACTCGATTTTCCCCCGTTTCAGGCAGAGCGCCACTCCCGTGCATCCATTTTCTGAGGCCCATCTCTCTAATAAGAGTTCAGATGTCGCGGAAATTGTGAAGATTGGATAAAAAGAAGCGCATAATTGGACCTCTCCTTAAGGAGGACCATGCAGTTATTGAGTTTTTGGTATCATTTTCCCATCAGTCAGGACCCTAAACCACTGTCCAATCAATGCATACTGAGTTATGAGCTTTGTAATTTCAAAATCACATTATCAGATGCTGCTCATTTAGTTTAAGGGTAGTACCAAGAATCCCCCAAACAGCCGTTTTAGTCAAAAGCACTTCAAAAATGAATTAGTCAAGTTCTTTTGCTCTTTTTATATTCCTTTTAGACCCTCAGTTTGGGAAGGAAATTTCTCAAGGGTAAGGCTGTTATGAGAAATTTTTACTGTTTTTGAAATCTTAAGAATCATCAATCAGCAATTTATGCACGGTTTTACGAGAGGAAAGCATAAAAGTCTTGCTATGGGAAAAGGACCTGGGAAAAATCAGAATTCAGTTCTGTCGCTTTACAGGACTTTTTAGGGTTTTCTTTAGCACTTAATCTCATCTCTTTAAGACCCCATGCCTCTAAGTAGTCTCTTTGTACAATTCATCCTTGTTTTGCACGGAGTAAAATCAGACTACAGGATGGTAAAGATTAAATACAAAAGGTGTAACCAAAGGGGGATTCAAAAATCTGATTTTCTCGTCCACTGCAGTGCTAAGTGACTGCCACTCAGAGTCCTTTCTCCAAATGGTTGCAAATTTGAAAAATAAATGCAGAAGGGTTGCTAGGGCTCTCCCTTATTAACCTGACAGATATTTTATATTCTGTACAGTTTGCAGCCTCTCTGCAAGAGGGAGCTGGTATTTAAGGCTCTCCAGAGGCACTAAAGCCATCGGGCTAGTCAGAAGAGCTATATCCGTGAATGAACTAATTAAGCTCCTCAATGTCCTCAGCAAAATGGTGTCCTGAGATTGTTCTCTGCAATAGCAGTAATGAGAAAGAGAGAGTCAGGAGGGGGGAAAACATGAGAGGAAAAGCAGGGAGAGGCGGAGGTGGAGCCTATAGATCTCATCCTCAAATCCCAGATCTGCTTGGAAACAGTGCGATGGCAGATTTCAGGCTCTCTCTGTTCCTGTCCGGAGCGAGAGGACCTGTTACATTTCTGAATGCAAAGTCTGTATTTTCTCATCTTTGTTTCCTAGCTTTGGTCGCGGCAAGGCTCATTAAAGTCCATAAACAATGCGAGATGTGCTCTCTAATGAGCAAACGCTTCTGTAAAAAGGCCTCTGTCCTTGGGAAGCTGGCCATGTCAGCTGAAGCTGTATCCAAACCCAGTCTCATGCATCTCGGGGCTAACAACCGGGCCATTCTCACCAGGCTCATTTGTGCTCTCCATCCTTATCCTCATTGTTCCCTCATTTTCTGTACTCTACTTCCCAGGGAAACTGACGTTTGCTTTACTTCCTGACAGGAAGCATCGAGTCTTTCGAGTGATATTTCCCTCTGTGAGAATGTACAGAGTGCTGGATGCAGATTTGAGACATCCTCCTCAGCTCTGCTTTGCTCCTTTAGGGGGTTGCATCCGAGGGAAAAGGAGTCTACAAAGTCCCGGGAGGTTTCTGTGGCAAAGGGTGGCGAACTAAGTGATGTGCTTGGCTGGCTGCGGAGCGCAGTGGAGCTGAATGAAACAGCACGGTTGAAAACAACAGTGGGCTTTCTCTGTCTGCGGAGCCACAACAGAGTATGCTTTCTTTGAGATAGAGGGAAAAATTTCAGAGGAAGGAACGCTGGAAAAATGGAGCATGATGTGGCATTTTGAGTTGCTCTTTCCAGCTGACGGGGGTCAGGCACTGATAAGTGATCTACCTATGGCTCACTAGTCACAGTGATTCTGAATAATGATATCAGCAACTGTGAGATAAATCATCATTATTCCACAGGCACAAAATAATGATGTGATGGTCCTCAAACAAAAGAGTGACCAGATTAGCCCTGCATGCAATACTGGTCTCTGATTCAAAGAGGGGAAAAGATACTTCAAACAGGCGCGAATGAAAAGAAAGAAATGAAAAAGCTGGAGACGCAGACAGGAAGCTGGAAGTCCAGCAAGGAGCCCCTGGAGGCTACAATGTTCATTAGACCCATATCATGATGGTATCATAAAGTATCTCAGAGCACTGCTATTATGGCTGCGGTCAAAGTAATCTTGAGGGTGCCGCTGGAGGATAGGCTGTCGGATAATTAATGTCCAAACTGCGCTGTTTCTACGACTCGTGGAATTCACTGGCAATCTTTCTGCTTCAGACTTCTAAAGACGAAGCTCAGCGTGGTCATGACCTCCTTAAGATGCACTCTTAGGATTTCGGACTCTTTCATGCCAAGTTGGAGCTTTTAACTCGCTCTGCGCAAAAAAAGACAAGTCTTTCACCGATAACTGGTAAATCGGTTGTTAATTCACGTCACTAATGGCGAGGAGAAATCCCCACCCTGCCCTTCGAAACAGACTGAAGAAGACAGTTTTATGACACCGGCTCTTTGTATAACCGGGGTCATAACTCAGCACATGCGTGTTATTGCATTGCTTTACAAAAACAGCCAATGTTGATGGATGTCTTCTAATTTCGCCGAGCTACATGTTCACCAAAGTCATTAGAGCTCCAGCATGGCAACATCTGCTCACATCCACTTTGTATTAGCCTGATAGAAACGGCACAGAGGCGAGCAAAAGCTATCCGAATGTGTTATTAGTACAACATTAAGGATGTGCCTCTTGATAGCCATACTCCAATTACCTCTCACTATGGAGCCATTCTAAGTGGTGGACCTCGCAGGATATTCTTCTTCTGCTGCTTTGCTGTTTATTCTTCCTTCGGGGACATTGGTAAATTATACATTAGGACACGCTTGAATATTTTACAGATTTAATGAGAATTTGATGAAAGAATGAGGATGAAAATGGTCCAGAAAAGAGTCGTAAGAGTGTGTGTTTGTGGTTTCAAACGGCATCCGTCTCCTTTAAGAGTTTAAACATTAAGTCTGATGTGCGACGCTGATGCAGTGATCTGTGCCACACTGTAATTGAAAACAACACTGGGAACGGTCAACTTAGCAGGACTTAATATCAAGTTTAATAGTGACTGTTAAGTAGGAATGAGCACATTTAGTCCTCATCTCCATCCCACAACATCACCCTCGCTAAACACCATCCTCATTGCTCGTTGGCTCAACTAATTAATATTTAGTGATTGTGGGCCTGAAATTGCACTCATGAGTCGCAGCCACCTCACAGTGACTGGAGCTGTATTCAAAGATGTAAAGACACATAGCATCTCACAGCAAAGCGCAGTCTTTCATGAAGAAAGTAAAACCAGCGTATAACCATCTAGCCAGCCAATGTGTAGCTCGCACAGGCATGTGGATATTAACCTGTAAGAAGGGTCTGAGGCTAGTGGTGCTAGCTCTGCTAATGTTAGCCACATTATGCGAAGTTAATAGCCAACGGTTTATTTCCAGACTCTGCTATCCTGTAGGCCATTTTGAATATATTGTGCGTGATTTATTTGCCTGGTTCACCGGGTGTCTAGGAAAATAAAAAGTGTGCTACTTTGGCTCTGCTGCTGGTGTCCTTCCCTACAAGTCGGTTTTCTAATGCCCCTTCAAAAAACTCTATTTGGTAACTGTGCTGTATGTGTAATCGCTGAATCTGAAAATAATAATATACAACATTTTAACTTTGTAAATGCATTTGCTAAAATTTACTTTTTAATATTCCAAACTCTAACATATTACTGACATATCAAATATTTTTGTTGTTAGGCCCAAATATCAGTGATTGCTCTCATAATCTACCAATCATCATTATTGGTATCAGCACTCAAAGGCCAATATCGGTCAAAACTTAACTTTATACACTGGCACTGACTGAACCTCATCCTCGATTTGCAGAACTATCCAATAAGAGGTTGGACGTCTGTTAAGTATTTCCTCTTCATGTTTCATTTCTTGCACTTCCTGTTTTATTCTGTGATCACTCGCCGTTGTCTCTGTTTCAGGTTCCTGTCCTGGTCGCTGATTGTGTCTAATCACGCCTCATTACCTCGTGTATATAATCCCTTCAGTGTCACAGTCTTGTTGCCAGTTTGTCGTCCTTCATATTTCTTGTCGCAGCATTCTTCACAGTCATTGTCCTGTTTTTTTGACCTTGCCCTTTGTCTCTGCCCTTTTGTGTACCGACCCCCGCTCTTGGATTTTGGAACCGACTCTGAGTCGAGCTCTAGAGTCCTCCCTGTTCTGTTGCTCATGACACTTCAGGACAAAAACATGTCAGTGAGTTATAACAGGGGACTATTTTTTTTCCATCTCAGTATCTTATACGTGTCAGGAGGCAACCGTTGAGTCACTGTCAAATGGACCGGCACAAATAAACTGACTGTCTTGTCGGAGAGTGACACTTACAGCTGAGAGACTCCTGCAAAAAGAGCAATTATGCCACCACACTGGCAGATTTACAATATGTGCATCTGATAAAATATACACAGCATCCTGGGGCCATGTATATACACCCAGTAAAGGCTGTTAATGCTAGGATTGAGTGCAGTGACGCTGAGATGAGAGTGCCACTGAGGCATGCCAAGTGCATTACAAGTCTTTGAGCAGGAGCCTTTGGGCAGCTCAGTCTCTGAGGCCTCTGTTGGCTGGCGAAAAAAGGCCGAGCCCTCGACCCCTCTTGTTGAATCGCCTGAGCTCGGCCCATCTGGCCGCCTGCGCTGAGAGCCAGCATCAATCATATGCGGCGTGACACTCTCTCTTTGTTCCTGCGATGTAAACATATTTCATCCTTCTGGTGTTGAGACGAGTGCTGATCCTTATTTGACATTTAGCTTCAATCAGGAGGAATAGGTGGACAGGAATGGAATAAAACTGATAATGCAGCCTTATAAGGGTATGAGCATCCAGATGTGTTCACATCAGACACTTCACTTTGAACTGGCGAGTCAAATATAATTGGCCTGATTATTTTCACCTTCAAGCTTCATCAGAAATATACACGGGCATGAAAGCCAAAAGCACCTTTTGAAACTTTTATCAGTCCGCCTTCCTCATATCAAACGTGAGGGAAAAGTTCGATGTGATCGCACTCTGGTCTTGTTCCTCTGCGGGGGTGAAAGAAGACGCTGCCGGCATAAAATCAAACATTGAACAGACTTCAGAGAGTTACGCTGAAGCTTCATTGATCCGTAAAAGCTTTTCAAAAGAGTATTATTTTGCCAAAATGCAACAATATCATATGGAAATGAGAAGAGGCTGCCTTTTTTTCAACATCTATAATTTTCCAATTCATATGCGAGGGATTTACATTGAAATTTTAAGTGTTTGCAATAATTTATGTGGCACAAACACTGAACACTGCAAAATAAAGATGAGGAGAAATGACAAAACAACTGTGCCAAGACAGAAGTGCCAGAAAAAATAAACAAGAGCGCCTCTTTATCAGCTGTCAGCATTCATGCATCATCAACAACACACATTCTGTCCTCCACCCAGCCCAGAAAAGTCCCACTGTAAACATTCTCATGTGCAGACATAATTTCTGAGCTGGCATAAAGCTAAATAATTACACAGCCTCAGAAGTAACACTGCAGTTACGCTGGCTTATTAAAGCAGCGGAGTGGAGCCGAGCATCATGCTGAAAAGCCTCAGAGATAAAATGAGACAGCTGTCAGTCAGGAGAGCGGCTATTCAATCCACAGACATAATCAGGCCACCAAGTACCAGTGCAAATTTTGCTGCATTTGCAGATATGTTTGACAGCAGAAGCTCACCTGAAATTTCAGACATGATGTCGGCTGAAAAATAAGAAACATGTGCATAGGCCTGTCGCGATAATCAATAAATCGCCTTATCGCTCGGTAAATAAAAATGAGGTCGGTCATTTTGCCAGCCTCGATAATTGACGTGCGTTTGTTTTCCTCCTCTCTCGCTACCAAACACGCTGGATGAGAGAAGAGGTCTCACTCTGCGCATTGTTCTCAGCACCTGGGGGCGTTGGCTCTATAGCGGAATGAACGGAGTTAGTGAACCCTCCTGTCAGTCATTCAGTATCTTTGTCACGGGGGGGCGCGCGCACAGGCACACAGACACAGACTTTTGGATACAGTGCTGCAAGTGAGCGTCGTGAGTGAAAAGCAAGCAAACAGAATGAACACGACAGCTTTGGTGTCTAAACCGAACGCAACAGCCCAAGTGTGGGGATATTTCGGCTTTAAACCAGTTTTGTTTTCGTCAACCACAAAACTCCACGTGTGTGTGTGCGCGCGCGCGTGTCTGTGTTGGAGGAGCACAGCAGGCTGATGAGAGCTGTCAGAGCGGACTGAAGCTGCTCCTATATGTTTAGCGTTTAACTGACTGAGTTTTGCAACTCTGTTCGTCATTTTCGTCTCGTCCCATCAACGTAAACGCACTTTCGTCTCGTCACATTTTAGTCATCTCCGACTTATGTTTAGCTCGTCAACGTTACGTCTTCGTCGTGGGTGAAATTAAAGTTTATCACTTTTGACAGGGTGTACTCGCATTATTATGCCATTTAATATCATTATCTATAATTTAAAAAACGGTGTCAATAATATCGTTTATCGGCAATAATTTGTAGCACAATTATCGTCCAGCAAAATTTGTTATCGTGACAGGCCTACATGTGCATCACATTCCAGCCAAAGACCTTTCTGTTTATCCTTTCTTCATCGACACTGTGTTTAATGTAGTATATGGTGTATTTCTCTTTAGTATCTTATCTTGTCTTATAAGATGGAGTAAAAGTAAAAAAGGCTGACAAGCATTCAGTCAGCTCATTACTGTTCAGTGAAAAACAGTTATTTTTAGGTTCGATGAACAAAAACATCTTTTCCATGTCTCACTGTATTCCTGCTCTCACAGAGCTTTATTACGTAAAATGGAGCAGCAGCAGCAGAAATAGAAGCAATGAATCCAGAGGTTGAAGAGCCCTGCCTGCCCCTCCTTGACGACACTCCGCATTGTGTTCCCGCCACCCTCTCATCCTCCACCCCTCCTCCTCCTCCCTGCCGCCCTCCACCTTTGTCTCCCCTCCTCGGGCTCACACTGAGCCACTCCTGGAGCTTTTCTTCAGGAGCGGCCCTTTCACAATGCTGTTAGTATGAAAGCCTAATAATTTACAGACCTCTCCTGATCTCATCAAACGCAGCAGCCGGACCATAAACACATAATGGAAAAGACCCTCTTAAAAGGGGTTTGCGCTCAGTTAAATTGGGGTGCTTGTGCGCACATTTTCGGATCAAATTGGGTGTGCCTCCTGCATTTCAAAAAACCTTAGTGCGTGTTCAAAAGACCGACTTTAAATCCTCTGTATGTGTTCAGTTTTTCATGCATTAACAGAGCCAGACTCTGCCTGGAGTTAAAACTTCTCAGCATGTTTTTCAGTAAAAGTAGAGAAACAGCTGGAGAGGCTTATGGAGAAAATGATCGGCACAGAAATTTAAAAGCAAAGTGAAGCAAGGATTTTAGTAGAGGAATCTAATTCTTGTTTGAAAATAAAAAAATAAAAGTGTGATTTTAAGATGTTGTATTTCACACTTCATGATGTACAAACTCCTTTTATTCTGAAGGTCAGAGAGCCACACCGAAGGTCTCATCCTCTCCAGTTTGATTTATGTGGGCATTGATCGCCAAACTGAGTGCTCAGCATATAAATCTGTACACACTAATTAGAAAATTAATAATTGATCAAGATGTGGTAATCCTTTCGCTCGGTTTGCAAATCTATTCTCTGCATCTTTAATTTTTATGCCATATAAAACCCAAGTGGATCTGTAGAATATACACTGAGTTATGAAGTGCTTTCAATGGTGGATTATGGTGTTACTCACTGATCCTGTTCAGAGTCGGCCCCCTTATTGACATTAGTGAAAACTGTTCATTTACTTTCCTGTGAGATTGTTTAAAAAACGTTCAAGTTCAGAATAAAGTCAGTTCTTTACAGGCTTAGTTAAGATAACATAGTGTTTTAATCTCCCCACACTGCTCATGTTGTTTTCTGGACAATGCAGGAGCTGCAGCTGTACAAATTGGCAAACTCCTGCTTGAGCTATCTCCTGAGTCTCAGTCAGCTCTACGTGCTTTATGGGGGGTTCTTTATCTTAGTGAAAAGACGGAGTGAAAACTGTGACTAAATACTCTGTGTTAAGCCATCACATGCGAAGAAAACTGTTTAAACCAAGGCTCATCAGATTATTAGAGCCCAATATCAAGCTTTAAATACAACATTGATATTAGGGCTGCACGATATATCGTTTGAAAATCGTCATCGCGATGTACATGTGCGAGATAGTCACATTGCAGAGCCTGCGATGTCAGAGGCGAACGAACTCATCTAATTTCAAGAGTAACTGACTGAGATACACTGAATGTGACTTATGCATGTGCTGTGCAGCGATCCACCAATCACATTCATTCATTACTCAGTGGCCAATTAGACTACCCTTCCAGCCGTCAATCAAAATCAGAGGAGAAAACCACGCCCCTGCACATGGAGTCGCTGGCGTTGCCGGTGTTATGCTGAGAAATGCGTGGCCGCTGAGAATTACTCTCGTACCATTACTCATCAGTGTTAAGCCCCACAAATAAGAATTGTATGGGTTTTAAATTGTACATTTCTGTGGACCGCTCTATCATAAGCGCTTGATATCGCAATATATATTGCAGGATTACAAAAAAATTGCAATGTTAGTTTTTTTCCAATATCGTGCAGCCTTAATCAATATCAGAGTAGCGTTGAAATTGTTAAAACATGCTCCAAACAAGCTGAACTTGCAAGTGTCCCAACATACAGCCAAAGCAGAGTGCAGTTCCTCAACTGTCCACTCGGGGCTGGCACTAAAAGTCAAAGAGACCCCATTGGAGACCATGTTAAGCTCTAACTACAGGTTTTGGTCTGGAGGCCTCACTTCATCATTCATGACCTCAACTCCACATCTTTGCAAGTTTCCACATTTGCCAAAAGTA